GCTGAACTCAGATTTGGGGATTCCTGGGCCTATCAAGGGCATAATATTGCGCAGCCCTTAATTGATCACAGTCGGTCTATTTTACAGCAGGCCTAGGTCATAAAGTCATTCGAACTTCAAGTGAACGTTCAAAGGCAACATAGGCTAGAGGGATTAATGGACTCTTCTTCGAAAGATAATTTCCATAACGGTTTATTCTCCGAGAGGAATTTTCCCTAAGTGGACTTTCTTCAGAACGATCTTATCCCAGAAGGGCTTTTTCCTCAAAGGAGACTTTCCCGAAGGGTTTTCCCGACGGTCTATTCCAGGAAGGAAAAAAAAACGATGGAAAATTCCTCTCCATTTCCGAACGAAGTATTCCAACATCTATGAGAGTTCGGAGAAATCCTAGGCTACTACGAAGACGCATGCGAGAGAATAAGGAGAAATCGCGGATGGACCCTCTTTTCTGCATCAACTTCTGGTACATCTATGAACGTGTGATGAACGATCTTCCCCTCATGACGAATGGCGTAGAGGCATAGAGACATTGTGCTTTCGGGAAGGCTAGCGGGGGGAACCATCTCAATCTCTTCGAGTTCATCCTCCCTTCAGAGGGAGCAGAACTTGAAGGAAGTAAAGATTGCCCAACTCCTTGCTGGAGGCGCTCCGCCTCAGACAGAAGAAACAGGAACCTGGACCTCAGAATTACGACCAGCAATACGCGGAGGAGCAGGTACGCATAAGGTGCGTTACTGAGGTTGGTTGACGGCTGCAATGCATAGAGGAAGTAGATGTTTGAAATTTTTGCAGGACAGATGGTGTCGCTAAGTCGCGGGTACTTTGCCTCGGATCGGCTTCCATTGTGTGCTGCAACTGCTCGTCGTCGATTTCAGATGGGCGGCCTGACCTGGGCTCATCCTCGAGGCTGTAATTTCCAGACGGGAAACGATCGAACCATCGTTGCGCTGCCTTTTCGTAAACTGCAACTTGGCCAAACGCGGCGCAGATGTGGCGCAGATGCGGCGACTCGATTCAGCTGCTATGATGCCAGATAGGAAGTCGTAAAGAAGGCACTGACGTTGGGCGGTCTTGTTAAAGTCAATTTTGGAAGTCATGGTTATAGGCTTTGAACGACTAAGCAACTGCTGCGTAATCAAGCCCGCACACCCTTTATATACTACTACTGTGGAAGGTTCGAGAAAGTTCTAGAAATTTTTTTTCTGGAAAATTCTCGAAACGGCCAGAACTTACCGATCGACCCAATATTTCATGGACATTTTGATGAAATCGATTGTTCAGAATCCGAGAAACAGTTTTTTTTCCCCCGTAAATCCCATGTTCCAGCTGTACTGCCCGAGCTTCACTCGGAGCACGCTATCGAAGCACACCTCTTCGAGGTCCACAAAGCAAATGTACTCGTATATACGAGCTATGTACCTAGGTATACCTCTTTAGCATACACCCGATGTTTCTCGAGGATCTGGTGAAGAATATCCAGAAGAGCTGCCCTTCTGAAAAAAAACTTCACTACAAACTCATGAGGTCTCATGAGACCTCATGACTTTCTCATGAGATTCGCTGAGTATCTCATGAGGCAATCTTCGTGTTGCAATACTCATGAGGTTACTCACAAGGTATCACGACCTTCTCGTGAGGATTGTGTGGTTCCTCATGAGGCTTTGAAGCGTCCTCATGAGAATCGAAGCCTCGTGAGATCTCATGAGGCCTCTGTTCGAAAAGATTATGAGGATCTCATGAGGTTTTTTTCTGCAGTGCACAATCAACGCGAGATAGCAACTATATTGCCGCTCTGATGAGTATCCCCCTGATCTCACTGGAGCATCTCTCCTGTACTCTCCAAGTTGTATGCATTTTTATTTCTATATAGAACATAATGAAAGATACAGGTATTTCATTTTCCAAAAACACTTGTTCGAAAAGACAGCCAGTTCAGGGAGAATCCTGACAATTCTGGCCCACAGGATGGAATAAGCGACAGTTGTGTAACCGTGCATTTTTAACGTATATGATTACTTCACCTTTAAGGACTCGCAGGACCTAGCAAACTGAGCCCCAAGAGACCTTTCGTGGCTAATGGGCTACAGCGAGGCAAGTGAAAACCTCCTGAAGTTAACCTCATGAGACATCTGTTCCAAACCTCTTGAGGTCGGTCTCATAAGACCTCATGAGGTCATTTTCATGAGACCTCTGTCCGAAAACCTTGTGAGAATTCATGAGGTCTCCTTTTGAGATTTTCGTGAGGTTTTTTCAGCAGGGTGTGCTTCTAGCCTCCGCGAAAGCGGCACTTCTCCTTTTGGATGGCTTCCTCCACGGCAGCCCGAATTCAGCCTCTTAGCATAAACTTTTCTAGGCATGCTGAGGAGAGTGATTGCATGAGTTCGTCGAACTTCTTCCGAGCCTCCTTCTTTGATTTGGCTTCAGTTCCAGCGGCAGCTCCACCCGCATCTCTGTAGCACGCCCTTGAAGTCTGGCATACTGATCATACATGCCCTATAGACCGCATTCTTGACAGCAACAGCCTGACGTGCCTCTGGCTTCCATCAGGGCGTCCGATTGGCGTAATCGAACGCTACTCCGATACGCTTTTGATCACACTCTCGCAGCTATGACCAAAACTCCAGGCCGAAATATTGATATATCCCATTCGGTCTGTGAAAAGCCCCGTGGGATAGTTGGGAATACTTTCTACCGTCTACTTTCGTTACTACGGATGAGAACACCATCCACTTTCGTTATTTCTTTCTTAAGAACTGTTATTCCACCCAAATACATTTCAGTCTTTGCTTTTTTTTTTCGAAGCTGATTTTTGCCCTTCCCATGGTCATAAGTGAATTGGAGACAAGCCTCTCTTCCAAAAAAAAGGGGCAGCACTGCTTCATTATTTCCGATTGCATTTCCCATTGCACTATTTCCCATGATTTAAGGAGAAGATAGGATCAATAAGTCCTCAAATCAATCATCGACCATGAGTGTTAAATCTGGCCTGCAGAATGGGTTAACTCCAGGCACCTTCGAAATTTGCAAACACTCTGCTGTTGCTGATTTTAGTCATTTTTGTTGACTTCGCATGGATATTGAGCTGAACTGTCTGTTGACATGAATTCAGCTGGATTCGGAACTCAAGGATGGAACGTATTGCTTATGAATGCCTCCCCGAGTAACCCCCCTGCTGAAAAAACCTCATGAGGATCTCAAAAGGGAACCTCATGAGATTCTCATGAGGTTTTCGGACAGAGGTCTCATGAGAATGACCTCATGAGGTTTGAAACAGATATCTCATGAGGTTGACTTCATGGGGTTCTCGCATAGAGGCGCCACTTGTCTCGTGGCCCAATAGCCACGAAAAGTCTCTTGGGACTCAGCTTGGAAGGTTCCACGAGTCCTTAAACGAGAAGTAATCATATACGAAAGAATATTTATGGTTAAACAACTGTAATTTATTCCATCCTCAATGCGTCATTCCATCTTGTAGGCCAGAATTGTCTGAAGTCTCCCTAAACTGGGCTATCTCTTCGGACAAGTGTTTTTAGGAAATCAAATATCTTTGATTATGTTCAATGTAGAAATAAAAATGCAAACAACTTGGTGAGTACAGGAGAGCTGTTCCAGTGAGATCAAGGCATTCATCCCATCAGAGCTGCTATACAGTCGCCATCTCGCGTCGGTTGTGCACTGCAGAAGAAACCTCATGAGATCCTCATGAGGTTTGCGAACAAAAGGTCTCATGAGGTCTCATGAGGACGTTTCGGAGCCTCATGAGGAACCGCACAATTCTCATAAGAAGGTCGTGAGACCTCGTTAAGTACCTCATGAGGATTACATCATGAGGATTTCCTCATGAGATATTCGGACAACCTCATGAGAAAGTCGCGAGGTCTCGTGAGACCTCATGAGTTTAAAGTGACGTTTTTTCAGCAGGGCCGTACTGGAATCATTCCAGCAGATGCTGGAGGAGGATGCATTGATGCCAATTATCGCACTGTCAATCGATATTGTTCCTATCAAAAGAAATGTCTGTATTTCGCAATATACAGTAGTTCTTCAGTTTCACACTGCCCCTTCCTGATTACTCTTGTTTGCATGCATGGATGAGATTGGCTGATCATAAAAGTAAAAGCTGCCTGATTGACGAAGGAAACGTAAATGTTGAAACTTTCATAACCCTAAGCCATCTTCCCGAGTTACTAAGGCCTACATCAGACAGGCTTCATAAAGGAAATGGAAAAGGTTCGTTCCAGTGTGACGCTCCTCAGTCACTAGGCCCTTGGAGCAAAGGCAGGAGATTACTTGCATCTACTTGTGGCCCTACCCCTAATTATAAATGAGGCTTCTGTGACCGAAAGAGAGGAAATATGGCAGGCATCAACATATCTCAATGGCAACACCCTGTGATTCTCCCTAACACATCCGTTGTCTTGGATGTTTTCTCGGATAATGAAGGAGACATTTCATTCAATAGAAAATTTCCAAGGTGTAGTCGTCACAAACAAAAAGCACCATTGCTCTTCTGATTGCATGTGGATACCATCCCATGGCAATATGTGATTCTGACCTTCACCTTGGTCGTTTTCGTCCCTTTTTCAATTCTGACTTATGGGATTAGCGATATCGAGACATCGTGCTGTATATGGTTAAGGATAATGATCCACTTAAATTTCATATCGTACAGCCCTTTGTACCATCATAGCAAATATGCATATTGCATTGAACTTCACAATAGAATATTATACGAAAATAGCCAGCTTGTACTTCGTACTCAAGCAATAAAAATTTTCGGATAAGTTGTTTAATGAACACATAAAATAATGTGCATGCGTATTCAAACGAGTTTTCGTCGTATGAGATTTTTCTTGAGATCAAAGAGCTAGGTCTTCTATTTCTGCTTTTCAGCCTCGGCAATGTTTCTTTTTTTTTAATTTTAAAGTTGACTGGAATTAGTTCATCAGTAATTGCGCATTTAGACCTTTGCGTAAGAGTGTTTTTGCTCCACCCTTTTCGCAGGAATCATGTGCTGGGAATGAGTTCAGGTTGGGAAGAGTATGGGGAAATCCGTTGGCAATTGGTTATTTGCCTTTTTGTTGCGTGGGTCATTGTGGCCGTGTGCTTGATCAATGGGATCCAGAGCTCCGGGAAGGTGGTATACTTCACCGCCCTCTTCCCCTACCTCGTCCTCCTCATCTTCCTCATATATGGTATGTTTGTGACGTCGTTTGTGTATCACAAGCAGTATTTAACTCTCACTCAGAGTAAATCTTGAAAATTTCATGCCGCTTTCTACATTTCAAAGTTAGACTCGCCTTTTCTGGAGCACTTTGGTCCCCTCCTAACACTGGATATCAGATGGATGGGTATGATGATGAATGTGAGGAAATGAATTCCTCATATTTGCTGCTTCAGTATAAAATATTTTTTAAAGGAAAAGATCAAACTAATCCGGGTTTTTCCCCCAAGTGCTTGTTTTTCGTCAAGGGACGCTACTTGATTGCAACACCTTTCGGTATTTACATTGAAGTAAAATTTTGCGAGCAGCTGAATTTAGTTAGCTTTCCAAGATTTTCATGAGCGTTGGAAACTCTTAAGATTAAAGTTCATTTTCAGAACATTTTCAGTGACAACGAAGGAATGCCGACAAGGAAAGCATAACACAAAATAGAATATTGCGGGAAGCCTTAAAAAAAGAATGTTCTCGCTGAAAAGAAGGCTCTTATCTAGAGGTTTGATGTACCCCAATCTCTAAGGAGTCAATCTAATTGCATTGCAAGTGCATCCCTTCAGAATTGCTTTTAATGTGAGCCCAGACATTAAGCACTCCATCTCACAGCTATCACGGCAGTGGTTTCGCAACGGTTGGATTGTTTTACTTCAGTGTTTCGGCATTCTAGTGTTCTTCAATGACGTAAAATCCCTTGCAAAAAGATCTTACAGGATCCTGAGATTTTTTAGACATAAACATTTTATAGGATTCTTGTAGGAATCCTATATGGTTCTTATAGGATCCTATAGGATTCTTATAGGAATCCTATAAGAATCCCTCTAGGATTCTTATAGGAATCCTAGAGGAATCCTATATAATATTTAAAAATCTTATAGGTTCCTATAAGATCCTTTAGGATTTTTCCGTAAAGGAATAACGTTTTGAAATCATTAAAATGCCCCTAAGAAAAGTTTCAGGAAAACGTTAGCACAAGGACGATACTTAACTGCAATTGCAACATAAAAAATAACGTAGAATTGGGGGAAAATTACAGTGGAAGCCAGGAAGGGTAACTATCTTCGCTCGGACAGATCCCAAGTCTGTTCGGTCCCTCCCTGTCTCCCGTCTCACCTTGCGCTCTATCTCATAATTCTTGATATTACTGTAAGAACGCGGTGAAGATAGGGTAGAAAATGGATGACGAATTGATCGTTGTTATCAGTGAAGAGGTAGTCACATACAGAGTATGGCAAGCAACAAGTCATACGACTTTTAACCATTATTTCTCTGCTCTCACATGATATACTGTACGTAGGTCGTACCAAAATTAATTAGTACATTTATTGTACAGCAAAGCAAAAGTATATGTACTAAAACAGATTATCAATTTTATATTATCAATAGTACCTGGAAATGTCCCATCACTTTTCTACAAAATCACCAGAACGATCCACGCATTTCTGCCAGCGCCGTACGAGCTTAAAAATCCCGCTGCGGTAGAAGTCCGTTCCAGCACCTCACAACCAGTTACGCACGGCTTCCTAGACTGCCTCGTCGTTCTCGTATTGCTGGCTTCGCATATGATCTTTCAAGGGCCCGAACAGGTGGTAGTCTGAGGGCTGAGGGGGGCCAAGTCCGGATTGTAAGGGGGGTAGGGGAGCACTTCCCAGCCGTTCTTTGCGATTGTCTCCGATGTCAGACGCGCAGTGTGAGGTCGTGCGTTGTCGTGTTGAAGGATGACAGCTTTTTTCATCGGGCACTTTCCACGAAGTGCACGTTGCAGTTTCTTGAGCGTCTGAACGCAGCGAGCCGCGTTGGTGGTTTCTCCCTTGGGCAGGAAATCGACCAGTATGCATCCCTCGGCATCCCAGAAGACAGTTCCCATAACTTTGCCGGCTGAGGGTACTGTTCTGGTCTTCTTTTTAGGAGACGTAGGGTGATGCCATTCCATGCTCTGTCGCTTGGTTTCTGGGCCGAAATGGTGGAACCAGCTTTCATCGTCAGTCACGATCTTGAACAGGAAGTCATGTCGGCAGCATGTCGTTGAGGCAACTGTGATGACACGTCCGTGCGTGTCTTTTTGTGTTCGTCCGTAAGCAAGCAGAGAACCCAACGGGAACAAACTTTTCAATATCCCAATGTCTCTATCATTTCCTGTACGGCGTGGTGTCCCATGCCAAGCTGCGCTGCGATTTCCCTAACCGTCACCCTTCGTTCCTCTTTGATTAGCGCGTCAACTTTCTACTCGTTGCGTTCAGTTGCGGCGGTTCTCGGCCGACCACAGCGTGGCTGATCGGCGATATCCGTGTTTCCGTCTTTAAAGTGTTTCACCCACTCTCTGACACTGCTGACGCCCATGCAGGCATCTCCGTACACACGACGAAGTCGCCCATAGATGTCTGCAGCTGAGCTATTCTCCTTCACGAGGAATATAATCACTGCACGTAGGCGAAAGGATATGTCGTTGACAGCAATTTTGCAACAGTGGATTGTGGGAACGCTAGTGGTGCGCATGCACCGGGCCTGTATTTATATTGGAAAGGATGATATCACTACCGGTCTTATACCCCGTGTTCTACTATATTCGGCACAAACGTGTTTAATCCGACTATGCTCATGACTTTCGGTACGGCCTACGTATTTCCACGAAACTTGCGCTGTTTATAGTTCATCCAGGCCCAGGAAGGACCAGGTGGTATGAGCCCGTAATGGAGTGCTATATCTTATGACCTGTTAAAATCTGTCAAAAAAGCTGCCTTCCTTTAATCGCAAACCTGTTTTTCGAGGAGCGGAAGGGAGAGGAAGAAGGTCCAAGTATGGCAAATGAGAATTTTGTTAGTCTTTGAGGATTAGAAGTGGTCCTTTCTGGGACTGGACAAGCTATATGAAGAGTTATGTTCCCAACAAAAAAAAATTAAATTAAATTCCAAAGTAAGGCTACGATCAATTGTTAAAAAGAAATCGCATATTGAAAATGGGCAGAGGACTTCCAATTCCTTCTGAGTGATTCATCCTCCTGCCTTGTTCTCTTGTGTAAAGCAGGGGTGTCAAACTGGCGTCAGTTAGTTTTTTCCTGCCCGCGAAGCTTTCACAAGTTGGTTTTGGAAATGCGCTGAGATTTCAACCGGTTCGCATTAAAAATGTGGCGTAAGATTTATTAGTATGGCCCCAACCACCCATAAAGGGTTCCGTCCGGCCCCCGCTCTACACCACATCCCTGGTGTAGAGCAAAGAAAAATATGGATAAACATAGAGTACACTTTTTTTATTCACCTCTCAGTGACTAGAATGAAGTTCATCAAAAATATCTGCAAGAAAAGGCAAACCTAAAAAATGCTTTTGAATGGAAGAGAAGCTGGATGTGGGTGGATGATATGGAAGGACAGTAGAGCGTGTTTTCCACTCCACTAACAGCTCGAGGTTGCGTCCATTTTCCTTATCCAGATTATTTTCCATCATTGCTCTTAGCCTTGAGAGATTTGATTGGAAGATGTATTCTTCTCTGAGAGCATCAACAGGAACGAAATTTGGCGTGCTCTTCTTTCTCTCTTTTTGAATTTGGAGGAAATTTTGAATATATGTTGGAAACACATCCATCGATACAAAAGGAAAGTTTCGTGAAAATAACTCCAGTTGGAACAGGAATTTATTGAGTAAATGTGGTTGCTCTTCTTACCTTATTCATATTCATATCCATTGAGAAGGTTTTGCATTCAATCTTGACAAACTGGGTTCGGTTAATTTGCAAAGAAGCGTGTAGTTGTGAGGAAGATGCTTAGCGAGAAAGTTTCTCAATGAAGATATTAAAAGCCTTAGGTAAGTCATAGAACACCAAGCCAGTGAAGCGTAAAGTGTCCATAAATCAAGAGTGCTCGTGTCAATGTCATGTTAATAGGTTCCACATTTTAGTTTAGCACCTAAGCCATAGATCGAAGTAAAGATCTTCATCAGGGCGGTTGCGCAAGAATGTCCTTTCTTGAAGCCAGATTGGGCATGGAAGGGATAGTTGTTTTGAGAAAGAAGGTAATGTCTGGCATTTGCCTCATGAAGCTCCATGAGATTGTAAATTGCGAGGAGCGCTGTGGCTCAGTGGATAGGGGCTAGGGCCAGTACGTGGGAGGTCCAGATTCGAATCCGACGCGAGCCGACAGTTCCTCCAACTGTTTTCGAGTACTTCCTTCTGCTGAAGCACTCTGTGCACCATTGTGTGAAAGGTAGAGGTTTGGTGCGCCTCAATAGCGCCTGCCACATCGACCCTGAAGCTCGCGATGGAGGGCCTCAGGCCGGAGCGCCACTGAAGTTGCCACAATCATCTTCGGGTTCGTGCAAATGGAATACATTATGACAGGTGGCGTGGGAAGTTGTGGTAATGCCGTCAGGGATGTCCAATAAGGATTCCCTTTCTTTTACTAGGTGTTCAGCCGCATGTGGCATTCGCTCCTGTCTGTTTATGTCCGTCCCAGTTCACTTTTTATAATAAAAGTTGTGAGGAGTATTGCCACGGGGCAATAGTTGATTTGGTTAGTTGTTGGACCATTCTTTGGTACAGGAATTACACCTGTAGTTTTGAAGCAGTTTGGAAAGGAGCTTAGTTGGAAACAGTGATTGAGAAGCGAAGTTAGGACAGTGAAAAATTTCCTAACCATGCACATAGTTTGAGACTCTTTGGGCTGAGACCATTATTTCCTGGTGAGTTCTTATCTTGCAGTGTACGCACTGATCTTCTCCTATCTTCTTTGCCTGATATGTAAATTGAAGGGTGGTGAGGGGTGTGGGATGATGTCATGAAAGTCATTCGGGAATGTGGTTGCATAGCGTTTGATGCCTGTATATTCAGATTTAAAGCAGAATGAACGAAGTGGCCGTGGGTCATGTCAGGAGATGAGTTTGGAAGAACGCCTATTTTAGGTGTTCTGATGACAAGGGCAGTGTTTGCAAAATTGAAGTTTTGATGTAAACTTGTGGCATCAGTCCATCATGGCTGTTGTCATGAAGTTCCATAGCTTTCTCCATATGAAGTCTTTCTTTGAAAATGAACCTAACTCTTATTGAATGATTGCCCTGATGTTGACCTTTGTCATGGAGTACAAAGACAGTCAAAAAGGAAAGAACAATAATTTATGCAACGTCAAAGTTTTACTTTCCTCGCAGATTAAGTATTTTCATCTCCGCTTGACCTAGAACATGACACTTGGTCAATAATATTTCGATCAAAAGTTGTGGGAAGATCCCTGTGGCCTGTACGAGGCCATAATTTGTTCCAAAACCTGCTTGTCATCCGTGATAACAAGACAACGAAGCCAGGGTGGAGACATGGAGATTTCACTGGAACCGTGTCAGTCACACATTGGACCATAATCCATAATGTAAGCTTCAGGCTTTCACTTCCAAGAATCAGTTCCTGTTTCTTGTGTGGGAGAACGAAATTGAGTAATTGAATAACGAGACTTTTCAAGAGCTCAACGTCGTAAAGCATTAGTTTCCTCTTCATGTGATCTTATTTGCTTCCCAATGATGCTGTTAGCTTATTCGTCATGACGCTAATTATTCCGCTGATAATATTGAGAGGAATACTACTGGGTGTCGCGAAACCTTAGCCCCCCCCTAGCCTCTCTTTCAAAATCGTATGATTCTAAAGTAAAATGGGTGTCAAATCTGAAATAAATATTAATAAATAAATAGGCGCGGTAGAGCCTGTTACCTTTCTTCAACCCCTTTCCGCCACAAAATTCAACCACCTTCTGAGAGGTGGTTGAATTTGAATTCCTCTCAGAGTTTCAACAGGAATGAAATTTGGCGTACTTCTCAACACAAAATCTCTCCAGCAAATTTGAAGCTCCATCTTCTCAGGGTTGTGGAGATCACTGAATCTCGCTTTTTGAAGATGTGAATTTCATTCCTTTTTTTTTTCTCTTCCCCCCCCCCCGAGCCCCCCCCCCAAGATCAGTGTTTCCAGTGGCGTATGGACAGGNTTTTTTTTCCCCCCCCCCCCCCCCCCCCCCGGTAGCCACTCCTGGGTGACTTTCTTAGGAAAGAGACCTACCATGAGAAGGTTATTGACTTGCAGATGAAGAAAAGTGCCCTTTTTGTTGCTTGCAATGCACCATTTCGCTATTTTAAAAAATGAAATTAGCTGTCGCTCGTTTAGGCTTAGAGCGCTAGCTCGGATCCCATCCTCCAGTGTTGCCGGATATCGTGCCGAAATTATGCCAGATTCAAGACTGCTTCAACCTACATATCGGCGTCTGGATCTTTTGTTTTTTAATGTATGAGACATTTGCGTGCTGAGTTCATGAGTTGACCTGAGAATGAAGCGGTGGTTAGCAGTGATTGATCGCTGTGATGGGATTTGAATATATTTTATCCGGACATCCCTGAATCACTAGGATGGTGCGCGCCATAGATTCCATGCTTCCTGGAGGCATTCCCTCCTCAGATGTAAGTTATTCGTGATGATTCGAGGAACTCCAGATAGACCTAATGTTCCACGTCCCCACTGAAACGGTTCATGAAACGCGAAACAGGCCTCAAATCGGTCTAAGGTTATATGTACTCTCTGAAATGATTCGTGAAGGTATGAATAGGCCTGCGATTGGCCTAACGTTACACGCCCTCAACAAGATGTCTCGAAGCCCACGGATTCATCCTTAAAGGCCTAATTGCTTCTAGTAAAGAAGGCGAGAACTGAGTTTTTTTTTTTTTAAGAATTCAGGTAGGCTTTGGGGTGACCTGAAGGCAGTGTTACTGGTGGCGGTGATACTGTGTTGAGTAAATCCATACTCGGTACAAATATTCTGTATTAGCGAGTTTTCTCGATAAGGTTCCCCGGGGGGTCCGAATTTTGAAACGCCACCTAGCCTATGACCATCCCCAGACCAAATGAGGAAGCCATGCAAAGTTTGTTTGCGTGTGTGTGTCTGTCCTTTTTGCACGGCCGCGCCTCTGATCCCAGTCCAACCAAAGAAACTGAGACATATGTAGTATAGATATCTCAAATACGTATAAATCATGTATTACACTCTTAAAGGAGGGTACGACTCAGGTTTTTGCACTCGAAGAACAAGGGCTTCAAAAAAAAAATGGATGTTGAAAAAATGAACAATAATCAGGAATATAAATAAATGACATTGAGACCTTTCTAAGTGATTTATTTCATAAATCTAAGTTCCTTGCTCGTGGAGATTCAATGGTGATGATTGACATCATCTACCGCCGAAGTCACTCCATAAAAAGAGCCGTCAAATGGTTATCTAACGACTCTATTATTTACGATTAAAAGATACACAGCGCGAACCAATGCGAATATGCGACAGGAAATGACTCGTCCGATTCTGTTGCGAAGTGTAATGCGACCGACTGCAAAGATCCCACGTATGTCCAATGCGACCGATTGCAACGAACTGCAATGGTCGCAGTGGTCGCAACTCAGCTCTTCGCAGTCAAGTGTACATGACCCCTAAGAGCCATGGATTAGGATATACCTCTGAATATCAAGAGCATTAAGTGACTCTAGTGGAAGTGTAGTGGGACTGCGAGGCTCAGCAACAAAGTGGTCGGCACTGCTTTGTGCTGTTACCGAATCCATGCATGATTTCCTCAGTCCAGTAGCCTCCAGGTCTTCAATGCCTTTCATGTCGCAGAGGAATCCTAAAATTGTCATGTGATCATCGAAATACTGGAAACGATATTCTAGTCATCTTGAAGTACAGTCCACCACAGCTTGGAAATTTTGCGGTTTTGAATCTGCGTTCTGCAAACGCAATGAACTCATTTGATCCGTAACTGATGCGTTTCTTCCGTCCAACACAAGTCAGGAGCAGTTTCGCGGCAACTGGCACCTCTTCCACCAACTCTTAAGCATGTGTCATTGCACCCTCGAAGCATAGAAACACTAAAAGGGCTGGCCAGCCCTTACCCCCATCCTTGAAAGTGGGGGGTGGGGTGAGGCAATAGGTTTTGAATGATTTTAACTCATTCATTCATTTTTCTCTATTCTTTAGAATGTACAGTTCTTAAAGAAATTCGTCTGATCGCTTAGCACCCCTTCTCCCCCCTACTTGTCAATTGAAATAACTTGCTTTAAAACCCAGCTCTTATTCCGCCTGGTTCCCAGCTTTAAATTCATACCCATTCTATCTGAGTATTAGCCTGAAAATGCAAAATCCAAGTAAGTTCCTTGCTGGAATTTTAAACTCGGAATCCTCCACTAAGAAAAGGACGGAATTTCTAGCTGTAATCCAGTTGTTTCCATAGCTGGACTACAGTAGGAAACCTCAGTAGGCTAACGAAACCCTTCTTAGTCCGGCAGGAAAATTAACTTTGAAACCAAATTGGGTTTCCCTTATATTTCCAGCTGTTCCCCAGCCAGAATAAGCCTAAATGTACAGCTGTAGTGCAATTGGAAAGTATAGTTCTTTCCAGCGAAGATTTTGAGCTGGGTAGGCCGACTTGCAGGCGGCTGAAAACATTAATTGCTTTGCCCAGCCCAAGACTTACCAACCAAAGGAAGTCCAGTGCGCGTATGCCTCGAAGCCATATTCTTGTTCTGGAAGGGCTTTCAACCAATTTACTTGCTTCACCAATGTGCATGGTGGAGCTCAGTCCTTACCTGCTTAATAGATCCATTTGACAAAGCGAATCGTACTACATGGGGCGACAATCAGCTTTTGAGTAGTCTTCGATATCTGTTGTGATCTCCCTCGACTTCAGTAGTCGTGACGCAAAACCTTCGGCATGCTACAGTATTTCACAACCTTCACGCATACCGCCGCAGGAGACGCAGGACTATTTCCGTTGGTCTCATTTCTGCTGAAGAAGCACTGAAAGAATCGGTTGCTTTTTTTGCGAATACAATTGTTGTGTTATGTTGATGCCAAGAATTTCTCAAGGAGAGCACTTTGAGATTGTTGTCATTGTTGTGGTTGGTGTGCAGGGGCAATGCTACCGGGAGCGAAAGATGGAGTTTTGTTTTATTTGACGCCTCAATGGGAGCGACTAGCGTCAGTGGGCGTGTGGTATCAAGCAGCGGCCCAAGTCTTCTACTCGCTTGGGCCGGCTTTTGGCGGGCTTCTTACCCTCGCTTCTTTCAACCGATTCAACAACAACTGCCAAAGGTAGTCTTCTTTCGAAGCTCCATTCACCTTTCCATATTGTTTTCCATGTTTTCTCGAGACTGATGCCACAGGTCAACACGGCGATCGTAATGGGTCGATACGGCATCTCGGAGAAGATGTGGTGAATTCTCTAATTTTAGACTCCGTTCGGCAAGACAAAACCCAATGATTGTTCCGCGCTTGAGTAGACCTCTTTCCGATAAGTAGCAATTGGGCTACTGATCTTTTTTATTTTCTGGAGAAAATGAAATAGATGCTGAGAGTACAGAATGTTTCTTTTCTTCTCAGAGATGGAATCGTAGTGGGGTTGAGCAACTGCATGACCTCATTTTTTGCCGGCTTTGTCATCTACTCTGTTGTGGGATTCATGGCAAACGAGCTGGGTGTGGAGGTGAAGCATGTGATTCGAGATGGAACGGGACTTGCATTTGTGGCTTATCCAGATGCCGTGGCACGAATGCCTGTTCCTCAATTCTGGGCCTTCCTCTTCTTCTTCATGCTCGTCACTCTTGGTCTTGACAGTCAGGTACTTCCTTAATGGTGTTGTAAAGTGTGTCTCGCGTTACATTGAGAGCAAAGTGTGGTAAGCCAGAGGCTTTCCTAAGAAGGTTGAGCAATTGAGCGCGCAAAATATGTATCGGCTACCATAGATAGTTGCACTTTGTAGTCGTCCATCTGTCTGCCAATACTCTAATAGTCAAATCGCTCAATATTGAGTAGTGAAACTTCGCACGTGTCTTCCTTGCCATCCGAGGACTTTTTCTTATTCTGATAGAACTTTCTTTAACGTACCATTTCCATTATTTTTGCGGGAACCCCCCGAAAGGACTGATGAATGTCCAACCGCGTCTATTAAAGTCAAGGGTGCCATTAGTTAGATCTTTAGAAGTAAAATTCAAATGACCATGGTATGAAGTCGTTCGTATTAATTTAAATGCTCACATTGCCTTCTTAATGCGTCATGACTTCCTATCGAATCGCAGTCATCAGCGGATGCAGATTTCTTTGTAGCCTATGGAGGACAGTTCCGTGATGTGGGCCACCGTGCAAAATTCTAAAACGCTGTAGTAGTAGTTCAACACTAGGACGTTAAGCGATGAAATTTTCAAACACGTATTCATTTGCGGGTAACTTCCAAGATTATGGTTTTCTGGCCTGCTCTCTAAAAATGTTCTCCGCCCATATTGGTAAAAGAAAATGTTTCTGTAAGACGGTATGGTACGTCCAGCATAGTCAACTGTTCTGATATCGGTCACCAACATTTCGATAAGCAATCACGTGTCAAGATTTATTTTTCTCATTTTACATTTTTGATAAATCTGCATTTCGTTCTATGAAAGCGGTACTCATTATATTCTTTGATGTGACTAACTCCTAGCTTCGCGTTACCTTCAATCATTAGGTACAGGGGCTGGGACTTTTTTATTTTTAGGTACTTTTTTCTTGTCGCAAATCTCGTGATCGCTTTCACTTCAAAATTCCAGTGTTATTATAAAAATTCCGAACTTCAGGAATGACTCAGGGATTTTAATTTATATTTCTGTACGGATGAAAGTTGCAGTGTAAGCTCATATATACGGGAGAGCAGTAGATAATATGGAATCTTACACCTTTCACTCTGGTTCGGTTTGACTTTGCATCTAAATTTTAATTCAGAGGTGCTAGAACGTGTGAGAAGGAGTAGGTGGAGGATAAACTGCACTTCCTCTTTCCTGTTGGTGTAGACGAGATAATTTAACAATGACTTTTTAAGAGACTAATGTTAATACAGTTTTCAGCTGTTCTGCAAGGAAACTTTTGAACATGGGTCGATGTGGTCTTCAGTGCCACTTCTCTTAATATCGGATCGTGAAGGAAGTGTCGACGCTATCTCGAGAGATGGGTTCACAATTTTCTGAAGCTTTATACCTGTGGAGCAGTACGCGTCCTAAATTGGAGGTTGCAGGCGGATAACTTGCATTTCGTGACCTCAAAACAGTAAAACTGTAAAAAAAAAAAAACTAATGGTGCATGAAGCATGCAAAACGCTTTTGGCTTGATCACTCAAGCTTTCATGCTTGAATGGCACGGTTTGCGAAAGGATAGAGCCGTGACTTTAACACGAGTAAAGACTAGAGAGTCTGAAATATTGAGTTCTTAGTCAGCCCATGGATGGAATATCTGGAAGGCTCGCATTTGCTTTCAACTTCTATTTCAATGCGTTGATCTTGGATTATACAGTAGTACCACAGGTGAGCACTAGTTGTTGATGAAATGCTGGAACTCGATCTGGGACTTGGTGTTGGACTCCATCACGAGGTGGTTGAGCATCATCACGAGGTGGTTGAGCACCACCTAGTGCTTTTTTCGAACAAACTGACAACTTATCGTGGTCACACACAAGGTGAGTAGAACAAAAACGGGCCACAATGGGAACTTTTGCAGACACAAGGTGGTGGTATCTGGACCATCCAGCAGCAATCGAGAATGTCTAGCTCCTTCTAAAACGGCCTAACCACTTCAATTTTTGCTTTTTTTATAATTCCGCTAAAATAAGTCAACTTTCTTTTACTGCAGATTTGAATTCTGTGAACATTTTAGAACAAAAATACAATAGTTTAACATTTATTTTCATGAATATAAAGAGCTATTGGCCGATTGAACGAAGCGAAAGAGGAGCCTTGGAATTTGTAGAAATTGTCCATCTATCATTGCTCTAGAGAGAAGTAATTTGTATATGCATTATGTCAGATACCCAAGCAGCATGTTTACGTAAACAAGATATCTATTTTTTGCAAACAATGTAAATTTCTTGCGATTGCCATGAAAATGACATCACAATACGTAAAATTTACGTTCTTATATTTACGTCACCTAAGTGTACGTGTATTTTACATCAACTAGACGTCACTCCATTTGACGTGAAGTACATA